AGTCAATTACCAAAATTTGGATGATTTTGAATATTCACTTGAAAAGTTATCAAAGAAAAACATTTTTCATTTTGTAACTTCGAGGGCCCGTAACTTGGTTACGAAGACTTTTAGGAAAAAAAGTTATATGAAGTACTGGTGATATTTTGACCCCGTCTATACATTCTCGAGAGGAAAAGAGGAAGTCCAGGGACACCCTGTATATTGGTAGCTTGTAGTTTGTTGCACAATTGAAGGAAACGTCACTGTCAAAAACTCTTCCTTAGCCGACATGTCATTGAATATCATTCGAATAAAAATACACAGTTGGGCAGTGGCCATCATATCGATGGATTCGTCGAACTGTAAAGAAAAATATGTACATTCCATGATATCATGTTTTAGTTTATCTGCCATGTCTTGACTCATGACATCAACACGCCTTGTGACAGTTGGACGAGATAACTGAAGTTCTCTAATAGCAGACATAATCTCTGTTTTATTTTTAAAATCTCCAAATGAAGTATCACCCGCTTCAATAAATGCTTCCTTTACAACCGATTCATCTTCAAATGTTTTCTTGTGTTTCGACAACATATGAGATATTTTAAATGACGCGATCGTTGCAGCTTTTGATTGTTTAGTTGGTCTTGTGAATATGCTTTGTTCTTTTTTCATACAAGTTATCAAATCATACACATTTCGTTTTCTTAATTCACTCTGTGACGGAAAATCCTTTTCATAGTTTTTATGAACCGTTTTATGATGTCTCTCTACTCACGCTTAGGTATTGCAACTGACAAACGGCATATGAGACAAATGCACTTATTCTTTACTACACAAAAGAAACATTCCTCCTCCCAATCGTTATTAAAATGATACGTTTGACTTTTCTTCGCGGCACTTATTTTGTACTTTTTATTAATGAACTTTGTTTCGCTTTCACGTTACAACTCAGACTGACTCCTATTCCTGCAGGCACAATATTTATATCGGCGCGAACGAATTCTCCAATGTTCTCGCCAAACACGCCACCCGAAGTTTCTAGAAAATTCGACGGGAATCGCCGCGGCTTTTCTTTGACAAGTGCCGCGCGTTCTTTTGCCGGTAGCTGGGGGTTATTACGACGAAATAAAGTGATGAGGGTGTTATTCTAGGTTAATTGTGGATCCAGTAAATTTTAGTAGTTTATTCATTTCAGTTTGTTCTAGTGACATATCTACTAAAACAAAATCTCTGAATAGTTCTATATTGGATTTTTCTCGAGATCGACTCAAAAAACATCCCTGATGTAGATTATGTATATTCAAAGTAACCGATATAGTAATCTTAAAGCTATCGGCGAACTCAAAGGCCAAAAAAAACCAATACAAAGGAATAATGTCGCTACGAATTAGTCCACGTGGACTGAAGAATTGGCGGTTCGTATTGGATAATTTTTACTAACCGAGTTTTATGATTGGCTGAAGAGTCATAAAATTAAATTTGAAGTCATGTTACGGTGACCAATAGAATGTGAGGATGGTTAGAAGAGTCGTGTTGTCAATGTACATTTCAGGAACTGATCGCGATTTGAGTGTTGAAATTCGATATTGGTGAAGTTATAATTACTTAAATTTTTTGTTATTCGTTTAAAATGTGGCGTCCTTGGACAATTATTAATAGTAATAACGAGTGTGATAACAAAGCAGACTTTTTCCTGTGTAGTGATTCTAATAGCGATGGTGAACAATGCGAAAAAGAGATACCAGTAAATAAGATTCGGGTGCATTAGAATATTGAAACACAGAGAATATGTTTCTATGTATATAAGAATGTACATATCAAGTTTGGTTTCAGGGGAAAAACTATTACAAGCAACATCAGATTTGAACGAAATTCCTTTCTCAACTGTACGTGAAATAGTCAAAAACAAACCTTATGAACGCAAGACGCGATTTGATGCGGGATTACCAAAACTTTTAGATGTCCATCTGATAAAATCAGTAAAATAAACAATATACGACTGTTACAAAAGCAATGAGATTCCTACAACTGAAATCATAAGGAAGAAATTGAATACTTCCGGCCATAACGTGAGCTGATGTGACAAAACTCTTCAGAATTCGATGAAGAAACTAGGATTTAGATTGAAAATAATAAACAAACGTCAAGCAGTTATGAAAAGCAGAAGAATAGTGGTATTGCGTAACAAATATGTACTTAGAAAAAATAAGTGAATATAGACAAAAACAACGGCAAATTTTCTATTTGGACGAAACTTGGTATGACACTCACGACACAGTTACGAAAGGGTGGACTGATGTGTACGCCTAACATGCCTACAAACAAAGGATCGCGACTAATCAATGTGCATTGCGGAAGAAGTAAAGGATGGGTTCCGAATTCTTTGAAATTATGGGGAAAAAATTTGAGGACTGCAATGTTGACTATCATAAGAACATGGAAGCTAATATTTTTGAGGAATGGTTTGAAAACACATTGATCCCAAATTTGGATGCTAATAGTGAAATAGTTCTTGAAAACGATTCCTATCATTCGCGACAGCTCATCAAAGTACCTAATAAAAACTCGAAGAAAGATGAAATACAAAGTGTTTCAATGAATAACGATTTGTATTTTGGAGATAACCGTACCAAAAACCAACTACTTGAAGTTTTACAGATAAAAACATTTGAAAAAGTGAAAAAGTGTAGAATAAATGAACAAACAAACCAACAAACAGGGCAAACTGAATGAAACCGTTTAAAAAATCTTATTTTATTCATTTTGATGCATTTCATTCATCTGATGTTTTGTTTTTGGGCTCTGATTTCAAATGGTTTCTTGCAGCGAAAGCTTTCATACAAAAATATCACAATAATCAACAAATAATGATGAAATCAAAGTACTCACATTTTTCAAAATATCTAATATTCTCTTATGATATTCTTTCATTGTAACTTCCGTTTCGTTATTTTTTGCCAATTTTGCCATTTCTTCTGTCAAAACATTGAGCATTTGCAAAAGATCATCAGTTCTATTCGACTTCATTAAACCAATAACAGATCGGTCTTTTTTGGCATCAAAATATTTTACTTCTATATCGTTGACGAGTTCTTTACTGGTGTGCACATTTTTCAGAGATGCAAATACCTGTTAATGTAAATGAAAAATAATTTCTATTGAATATTCTGTTGGATAAGCCTTCAAAACTTCTTGCCCACTCCACCAAATGTTGAGTTATTCTTAAGACAAGATGTTGGAGAACGAACAGCCGAGGATATCAGAAAGAAGCTGTGAGGACTGTGATAAAACATATATCGGTCAGACTAAGCGAGCCATCAAAATTCGCTTCAAAGGACATATCCGATTTCTGAGACTAGAATGATCAGGCCATGGAGAACGACTATGAAATAAATGGAACCAGTCTAAAATTTATGAGATTTTGCAGTTCTGGTTATTGAAAGAAGTGTTCCCGCATTCTGTTAACTAGAGTGAACAGTTTCAGAATGAAATAGATGTTCTTTAGTTTTTTCCATGATGAGATCCAGAGTCCCACTGTTGCCAGCTGACCTGAAAGCTCACTCACCAAAAAAAGTACTGGGTTTTCGATCAATAAACAATGATTTGATTTTCATAAATCGATCATTTTCTCAGACACTAGCCGGAAAAAATAGTGTCACTGTGGGTTCGACAGTAATTGACCACACTTCACGATTAAATTCAACTTTATTTCACTACTACACTGTCGATATAACACAAAGACCCTATGAACTTTAGACGAATGTTCAAATGTCAATGGCTCTATCAGCTGCTGCTTACTTTGCGCTGCACTTTCCGAGCTAGACTGCCTCCCCTACGTCGAGATATTGCTTGAATATTTCAATGGACGTGATTGGAAGCCGGTGGAACAATTCTCGATTCAGATAGATCGTGAGAGAGACAAGTGAAGCAGTTAATCGAAGAAGACCAGCGTCAGCCGGCGTTATTTTTTCAAGGGGTAATTTTACAACTACTGTGAATCGCAAATACAGGTTTATCACTTACAATAACTGACATTTGTTTCTCATCTGTGAACTTATATTCGTCTATGATTTTGACTTTTACTGCGACATCCTCATTCAACATGATTGGCATTGCTTCGAGTGACGTTCCTGTAGCCAGCAGAAATTCTGAAAAAGGTACAGAAAATATACGCGTTGGTGAAACGCGCATTGAGTATTGGATTTCTGAGTGGGAAATGGGCTAGCTTTGGATTGAGTTATTATAATAAAAACAATGATAATGAATAGTAACAAATAAATTGAAACTCACCTGATTGATTACTCACACTATATAATTTGTAAGTTACATTTCCTGGCTTATGATTGCATTTAACATGAAATTGGGTTCTCGAAGCATATCCGCGTGGGGGATTCACTGAACATTCTCCCAATTTAGGACCTATATGAGTTGGAAACATTGCACGAATTTTACCTTTCTCGCCTGAAAACATTGAATGATTGAGTGATTTTTGCAAGCTTTCAATTATTTTATTAATCATAAAGATACACCGATAATAATGGTAGTAAGTGAAAGTTAGGCCACAGCCTATTTAGAAGTATCTGAATAGGCTGTGGCCTATTTATCCAATGGAAAGTATATGTGATGTAATTCGCTTTCAACATCGGAGATGTAATCATATTTGATGAGAATAGTCACGCATACGGTGAATATATCACATAATAACCATTAAATAGGTTCAAATCTGAATGATAACGAGGCAATCTGAGTACCTACAATATGTCCATGTTTTTCCATAATCCTATCGCGGTTTATGGATTTTAATAATGGAATAGAGATCAATTTTCAGCATATCGCCGTGAAATGAATCTTCCGTCTCTCATCTCTTCTCGAGGGCATGTGTGGGCACTTTTCATACTGAACATTGTGGTATGGGGCATTGCCTATAAACAATACGCTTTTTTCTGGCAGATTGGGAATCAACATTCCTTGCAACCACTTGCCGTAATTCATTTCGCTATGATAGTCGCCTGATTTTGTGTTGGATTTAAATTTAAATATGAATTTTTAACAAATCCATTTTCTCCTCCAGCATTGACAATTATAAGTCTCTGCCCTTTTGAAATTGGTGCAAGCAACACTTCCTTTGAATCATCATTCCAACTCTTTTCATGTGTATGTTTCATCCATATAAATTATTGTTCAACCTTCTTCACCGTATTTCTTCATGTCTCTGAGATAATTTATTCGCAACTGCTGAATCGCCAGTTTTTCTATGAGCAATTTTCAATTTATTTTCATTTTTTCACGTCTGAACCCTATTTCTTTCATTACTTTACTCAGAGACTCATAAGATCCCTTGTAAACATTCTCGTCAACGAATTTTTTATGTATGCGGCGTAAGGTGGGAATTTGTTTCTCAGTAATGTAATAATTGATTGAATATCGAACAAGAAGGCCCTTGTCATAATCATCAAAATCTGATTTGGATGCTTTTCTATGTCTTTTTTATTAGGCGTTGAGAACGAGAATCACTCACCATTTTCAATTGTTTCACGACTTATTCTCTTAACGCTACCCAAACTTACACCAGCCAATTTTGCACAACTTTTTTCAGGTCCATGCTTATGCCATTATCAGCTTCTCGTTGCATAAAAAAGTACATTAGCAATACTTCTCTCGTTTGACCACACATAACTGATCGTTTAAATTTCGATTCAAATGCCATTTTCTTAGAGCACCGACTTTTGTCGCATAGTATACTTCATCGAAGTGGACACTACAAGACTGAGCACTGATCGTCTTTAAGGGTTTTCTACCACGCGCCTCTTAGAGGAGATCCTAAGCCAATATTTCGAAGTCTAGATTTGACAGGCTAAAATTATATTCATTCGCTGATTTGGTTTTAACCCAGCCATACCAATCCTCTCAAATTGAAAGGGGTATATTCTTTATCATATTTCAGAAGGTATGTGTGAATTTTTGGTGAGACTTTCAATATCAGTTCTTTTCTTCATTGAATGTTCTTCCTGATTGATATGTATCATTTCCAAAAATATTCTTTGTTGTATTTATTTCTCTATCTAAAATATATATGGGTTTTCAAAATTCATTTTATGATCCTCCGAATTGACATGTTCTGTTAATGCACAAGAATTAACATTTCGTCCACAGTCGCTCTTATGGGAAATGATGCGACTACTCAGAGGTCTAGATGTTTGTCCTATATATATTTTAGAACAATCTATATATACAGGGCTATTCAAATTCGTTTCTGTACATGGGGATCTCGTAAACGATAAGAGATAGAACGTCGGTTAAAGTTGCGTATTTTAAAGACATATTCAATGATGTAAAAAATCGAATATAGCTCGTTTGGTTCTGAAGATATACAGGAAAAACAAAAAAATCCCAAATTATTTTTTTGCCTATATCTTCTCTATCCGCAGACATATTGAAAACCTGTCCACATTTTGCTATTGGCACTTGATGTGGGCTATCCGAATATGTCCATGAATCTTTTAAAAAGGGTGTCATCTGACTTGAGCCACCCCAATCTTTGAATTTTTAAATACGGACCTGTATTTTTGTTGTAGTTTTTGGATCGTTGATGTTCACTTCATACAAACATCCCGTAATATAAAATTCAATTTAATTTCTTAGTATGAAGTGGATGTCGACGATACAAAAAATACAACAAAAAATACAAAAATATCCAAAAATATCAAAGGATAAAAACATTTTCTTTTGTAATTTTATACCCACACACCAAGTTTCAAACCCATAATAAATATTTTATATTTTCACTATTTTTCCGCATTCCTGCTTTTTCTACTTATCAAAATTTAAGCACACCTGTACTGAATCATTTATTTTAACTAAACTCGTCACCGAATTTTAAATTTGACTGATAAAGAACTCTTACCTAGAAGACTGAATCCAACAGTATACGTTTTACCAGTTTGAAAAGCATTTTTTTTAATAGTGAATTTACCCTGATCTCTACCAAGTGTAAATTTATCATAGTCAAAGTCCGGAACTTCAACGCTCCAACGAAACGTTTGGTTTGTCTGGATCTGTTCGCAATTCAATTTACAATAGGCTTCCAAAACCATATCCTTCTCGATGTCAACTATTGGACTCAAAGGTGGACAGTTGCTCCAACATCTAAAAGAAGTGGTTGGGATTGCCGAGAATTAAAAAAAGGTGCTCAGTAACTTGTCGAACCTATTTGATGATTCCGCCTACCAAAATACGAGCTGAGAATAAAAAAATCACCTATTTCTAGCAGTTTTCCTTCTTGAATTCGTCTCATTCTTGAACAAAGTGTAAAGCTTTGATACTGTTAATCATGAAGTTTTGTTGAACAAATTATTTGATATTGGTATTAGATGCAATGCATTTTTATGGTTTCGAAATCATTCAAGTGATGAGAAGCAATGTGTGTCTCCACGTCGTTTGGGGAGTACCGCAGGGATCTATATTAGGACTTCTACTCTTTTTCTTTTATAAAATAATAATAATACGTCCCAATTCGCCATGAAAAGTACAATTGAAACGGACCGCTGCTGACCAACGTCCTCAGTTCAATCGGGATGGAGTCGCAATAAAAAAATTCTGACATGATCAGTGACTCGCATAGTCAAAGTTTTGAGCTTGTGTTGAGCAAATCACGATTTTGAAACAACTTCCTGAGAACTTTATGAAAAGTTTGGTTCAGATAGTTGATATGTTTAGCGAAGCAAAGTTCTGGATCAAACCACAATCCTGAATTTTTTTTTCTCGATCTCGAAGGGAAGTATTTCATTTTCGATGCGGACTTGAAAAGAGTGGAGTTGGTGAGCTCTCTGTTCATCTTAAGTCCAAACATCATTATTGCAGATTTATAAGAATTGAGCTTGAGCGTATGACCTAAACAGCGGAACTGCAATACTTTTCTCGAAGCGCGTTTCAATAACTAAGTTGACCATTTCAGGAGATGAACTACAATAATTGAGAAACAGAAGTGAAAGGCATGATCAATTGTCTAATTTTGAAGAAAAGGACACATTTTAGCCACCAAAGCATTGAAGCAAGTTAAAATTCTCGGCTCATTTTTTGATAAGCAAAATTATCGAATACCCCAAGTTACTTAGTAGAAGTAAATAAACATGGTGAACTAAGAAATTATCTCTTTCCGGTTTCGTTGGTGTATCAATAACATATATTTCTCTTACGAAGCTATATAAAAATATACTAACCGCCAACTCAGTACTGGTTTGGTTCTCTTTCTGGATTCGATAATTTGGCTCATTTTCCGCCAGTCTGTCTGTTCGCTTTCAGCAGAAGCGTACTCAATCGGAACCATCAATAGAACATCTGGAACACAAGCAGAAATCAATGTTACAGAATGTATACTTTCTAACGCCCTTATTCAATTTCAAGATGGCTAATGGAGTTTTTCACTATAAATAAAATCAAATAACTGATTATGAAAACATACTACAATTTTACTCAAAGGATGAATGAGACTCACTATGAAGTTTTCGAAACCTGTCGAAATTTACATAACAAAACATCATAGTTCTCAAAAATACTTCCCCCTAACGCCAAAAGTAATGAGCTGAGAACTCCCCAAAACTTGAAAGTTCATTCATGATTGTTTTAATGTGGCAAGCTTTTCCATCCACTTGATGGATAGCTACTTATCCGAGTGGAATCTATCAAATGTGGCTTAAAAATATTAAAAAGATAATTAAAGTTCCATTATTGGTCATAAAATGTATTTCTAAGTGTGAAAAGTTATGTCCTGGTGTACAATTCTACCAATTCACAAGTAGAATCACTTGATTCTATTTGCTCTAAAGTGACTGGACCCCATAATGTAACATTGATGGAGATTAACTATTGGGGGAAACAATGGTTCAAACGGAAACTCAAAGAAGTTACGTTACAATAGTAACAGTAACTATGTTGAAGAATAAAAAACTGGAACCTCTGCTATGTGTTTATTCCATTATTTAAATTTGATACTTCAGAGATAGTTTGCCTATACATCGATTTTGCTGATGTATACTATTGATTTCCAATATGTCTTATCACAATGATGTCGCTGGAATTGCGGAGCCTGCTTCTCAGAAGCTTGGAGAATGTTCTGAACCAGAAAACTGTACACACTTTTGATGCTTTATAAAGCTCAGATCAGACCTTCTTTGGAGTATTGTTGTCATGTATGGAACTCGGTCCACAAGTATACCCAGAAGCTGCTGTATTTCAGACACAAAAAAGCCATCCACTTGCAACCTTGATAGTCTGGAACATCGAAGAAAGGTTGGCGATTTGTCTCTTTTATAGATACTTTCACGGTAGGTGTTTGAGTGACTTGGCACATTTGATTCCAACAAGAGCGGTAGGGGAGACCGGGGCTGGTTGGTACGATTTTCAAATTGAAACCCCTCTAATTTTTTTATTGATAGATAGTGAGAAAATACATTTGATTTCCAGATTAGTGTTGTTTTGTTTATATAAATTTCAAATTACATATTGTTAGGACCTATCCTTAATCCAGAATTAAATTTTTTCCTTAAGGATGCAATTGTACCAAGCAACCCCGTATTTGTGGATGGTTGGTATATACCTTGGGGTTGGTTGGTTAAGGCGAAAACTGAGAAAATGAATATTGTTTTTATTTTTTTATGTAAAAATGTAATGGTAATACAAAAAAAACGGTGCCTATTCGTTAAAAAAGTGAATAATCTAGTCAGAACCATCCGAATCACAATTATGATAAACGTAGAACAAGCCCGCATCTGCGCATTTTTCTTGTTAGGCAAACTATTTGACCAGGGTTCAACGCAGAGTAGGCAGAAGGTTTCTTCATCACTGCTTGAATCGTCTTTAATTTTCGAATTCTTCGCATTTGCTTGTTTTTTCGTGTTCTTTTTGGTTTTGCCAAAGACCTGGTTTTTTATCGATCATGTTTTATTTTCTTTTTTTCTTCTTCTAATGCATCTTTAATAGGCGTATATGTCAAGATTTCAGATTTTTTTTGTGCGACCCCGTTGCACTTACCTTTCTGCGGCTTTTGGGCACGGCTTCAAATTTTCGAGATCTGTAAAACTACATGTTGCTACCTTGTTAGATGACTGGAGACACTGAGAATTCTGGGGCGGGGGCGTCTTACTATCTGCAATTCTGCTTGGTCCAGCTTCTTGCACGTCTTCATGGGGATTAGTCTCTTGGTCTAGCAAGGGGTTGTCGACACAGTTTAAAGCCTCTTCGATGAGTGTAATTTGACCAAGTTCAGGTAGATTTGCTTTAACTCCCAATACTTCACCAGAATTTACGTTTTGCTCAATATCTTGCGAATCTTGTTCGGGATCTGGTCTATCTGTAACATAAGCAGCCATAAATTCACTGTCTGGAAAAATATCCCTATTAAATGGATAAATTCCGGAAACCTGAAATACAGCTGTGATGTTGTTTGAAGTTGCCGCTAATACGTGCAATACGAACAATACTGGGTATGTCATAAATGGTCATCGTTGCATCCAGACGATTAGTCATCCAAGAATCATAAGCACTATTGACATACTTCTTCAACGGTCAATACACACTGCGATCCAGAGGTTGGAGCTTATGGCTACAGTGAGGCGGAAAGGATCACACTGTTAAGCCGTGATCTTTGCAGATATTTAGTGCTTCGGGAGATAAATGCGAATCAAGGTTATCTATCAGAAGCAAGACAGGGTTTTCTTTAGACGCCTTGGAGTATTGAATAAAATGCTGGATATATTGTATAAAATTAACTTCTTTCATCCAGCCTGATAGGTTGGCACTTTCATCGCTTCCAGGCAGTGCATCTCTGAAAAAATGAGGCTCAAAATGAACACCAGTAAATATGAAGAAAGGTGGCACAGCATTTCCAGCAGAAACAGCACACGCCAAAATTACAAGCGTACCGCGTTCTGCCGAAGTAACTATTTCCACTCGTTTGACACCACGTCTACCCACAATTCGGTCAGGTCTCTGAACTGTAGTGATCCCTGTTTTGTCCATATTCCAAATGTCCACAGGACTGAAGTTATACCTTTCAAGAACAATTTTTAGATTGCTGAAAAATCTGTCTGAATTTGTTTTATTGAAGCTCGTGGCTCTAGACAAACTGGTGGTTTCAGGTGTCCTTACAGCCAATCTAGCATTTCGCTTCAAAAATGATGTAAACCAGTAGGGGCCTGCATCTCATTTTTCTTTCAGCTATTTGGAACCGTCAGGTGCAAAGAAGTTGCATATAAATAAGCTAATCTTTTCACTTCTTTTGGCGTAAGCACATAGTAAATATCGGCAGCTTTTTTATGTAATCTGTGAGATTGGACTCTTGAAGCTCGGTGAAAATCTAAAAACGAAAATTTTACTAGAAACTGGATCATCAACTATATTTTTTAAAAAACCTACCTGTCTATTTTTTATTTTATTGTAGTTCCCCTAGTGTAAACTTGAAGCAATATCTTCTTAATGTGTTGAATGAAATTTCGAAGTCACTGGCAGCAGATCTAAGAGATTGCTCTACCAATTTTACGACTCTGACCAGTCTTAGCATAATATCCGGGGGTGTTTTGCCTCTTTCCGATTTTCTTTTGAACGTACGCATTCAAATGAAGGTTTCCTAAAAAGGCCAGCTAGTAGCAAAACAAAAAAAACGTAAAGCTAGCCCCCGTGGTTGTTCGGTACACTGTACGAATCAGCCCCTTGCAGTTTGTACCAACCATCCCCAATGCATTTTTTTACGTTAGAAATGTCAAAACTAAATGTTAAAACATTATAAATCAAAGCTTTATATTTGGTAAGTATTGAAAATAGTGCAAATTTTCTTAATATAAATCGAAAAAGCAATAAAACTGATATTACAAATATTTCTAACTCATAAATATTTACTTACGGGTGACAAAACCACATGCACCAAGTAAAACTAAAAAACGCCCACACATCAACGATAACTGTCTTCAACTGGCGCGTATACAAAGACTTTCCGATAGATGCGAACAACGCTGGTGTTAACCGAACGGATTCCGAAATTTTACGAATGTACCAACCAACACCTGTGCCCAGCCAACCCCGGTCTCCCCTGTATATCAGAAATACGCGACGTACTGTAGCTGCTCATCGTTTTGATATACACATTTTGGTATATCCTTGAGCGCTCTCGGTGATTCGGTTTTTATCTCTTCAATCAACACAAAAAGCCGTCTCTTCATGGGTCTCTCCAATCTTGGAAACAAGAAAATGTCGAAGGGGGTCGAATCCGGTGAATGTGGTGGCTGAGACTTGATTAAAGTGTTGTTTTTGGCCAAAAAATTACGTACAAGCAGGTGCATCATCGTGATGCGAAAGCCATGAATTGTTTTCAACAATATCGAACGTTTTTTAGTATTGCTTTCCTCAAGTCATGCATAACTTCAAGATAATATTCTTTGTTGACCGTACGACCATGTGGCAACAACTTCTTATGCAGTACCTCACGATAATCGAAGAAAACGGTTGGCAAAACTTTGACAGTTGATCAAACTTGGCGTGCTTTTTTCGGTCGACGATTCTCCATGAAAATTTTCCTCACTTTCTCGATATTTTCATAGGTTGTTGCTATGTGTCCAGAGCGTGCGTTGTCATTCACATCTTCTAGAACTACTGTGTAGAAATTATTGTGAATCAAACTAGAATCATCGTTTGCCACTGATGAAATTTTAATCGTTTCTGAACACCCATTATCAGTTTTTCCACAAAATTTGTTGCAAATGTTTTGATCCATTTTTTTATAGCAGCTGAAACTGCGAAGAGATGTGCAACACACATTCAATTTTCTGTCCAAATGTTTTTGCACTACACTAACTGAAATGGAATGTTGAAATTCACCAATAAAACTGAAACTTTGAACCTCTGAACAATTCCGTGGCTTTCAGAAATTTCGAGATTCTCAGCAGAATTTTTTGCTTTTTGTATATCTTGAATTACGAAGTCATGTTTAATCGACATAAACAGACTTCAATCATAAAGTAACTTTACCCAGATTTTCTTTCCATGGAAATATTTTTATTATTGAGCATGATTGATAAATTAGGAGAGAAGTAACAGTTTAGTACCTACGTGAATGATTAAAATAATCAAATTATTCCACTCACCTATGATAAATATAAAGTTCAAAATATCCATACTCTTCCGCAATATTATTTCCATAGTCAATTTAAATTCACTTTGACGTTTTGAAGTGATATCGAATAAATATCTGACTTTTGTGGCAGTGACAATTAATTTCCATAATACTGTACCTTCATATATAGAGGATTCTCTTTCAGACACAAAATTTTTACAGGCGGTTTTGAGAAACTATTCCAAAACATTCGCGTACATACCGGCTTCAATAATGTCTACACTCGAAAATAATCATACGAGTTGATAGTTCAAAAATAATCTTTGGTAAATTCTGAAAATCCAAAAAGTTTGTAAAAGTAGTGTAACTTCTATTCAAATTAGTTTCTGTACATGGGGATCTCGTAAACGATGAGAGATAGTTAAATTATGGCAAAGTTGCGTATTTTAGAGACCTATTCAATGATGTAATGAATTCGAATATACCTCTTTTGGTTCTGAAGATATACAGGAAAAATAAAAAATCCCCAATTATTTATTTGCCTATATCTTCTTTATTCGCAGACATAGATGATAAGATAGATAACAAGGTATACCCCTGTATATTAATCTGCCGCGCTTCAGTAAATCCCGAAATCCCCGCTTGGGCTCCCCTATTATTAAAACGACGTTGGCCAGACCAAAGCTGTCAACGGCGAACACTATAGGTCTATAATTACCAACTTCTTTTGGCCTGAATTGGATGGTCTGGACACCAACGACATGTGGTTTTAACAGGATGGCGCTATGTGCCACACAGCTCTGCGCGAGCGATTTCAGAGCAAGGTCATCTCACGTGTAGGTGGTGTGAACTGGCCACCAATATCGTGGGATTTGACCCCGTTGGACTTTTTCTTGTGAGGTTGTCTTAAATTGCAGATATATGCGAATACGCCTCAAACCGCAGCTGTCCTCAGTGCCAACATAATCTATGCCATCGGTCAAATTCAGCCTGATTTATGCGTCAGGGTAATGGGAAATTGGACGTTTCGGATGTGCCTCACCCACAGAAGCCGTGGCCGACATTTGAATAATGTTATATTCCACACATAATGGCCTCAACAGGTCTTTCAAATGAATAAAAAATTTCGGATAATTTATCACATACACTTTGTTTTATTTAAATTTACATATAGGAAGTGCTTAGATGAAAGACCGTATAAAATGAACATCGATTGAGCAGATCAGATCAAGTAAAATGTTTTACTCGTACCTTCAACTACCGCTGCTCTACCTCAATTTCAACTCTAGCTATAGTCCTGTATTTCCTTATTTTCTCTTTATCTCCTGAAGATGCCAACTTGATTGGTGAAACATGCGTCGAAAAAAGTATTGCATTTCTGTTGATTGTGAAAAGTGCGACGTTTGGATCGGCACTCAATAACACACACAGAAAAATTATAACCCTTTTATTCAAACAGTCATAGACATTCTGCTTAAGAAGAAATAGACAAAACGTACATGATATTTCTATGAACAGCAGTCGGATCTTAGAGTATCGTACATCAATTTTTGATAATCTCTTGTCAATAATTATTGAAAGAAATAGAGTGAGTGAATTTGAGAAATTTTGTATATCTTTGAATATATGTTCAAAAATTCAAACTATTTCGTATAAACGGTATATTGGTCCTTCCACTGGCAAAAAACTGATCAAACTTGTCCAACGTGCATTGGTGCTTCTTGTTGCATCCTTTTTTTCAAGTTTCTAACAAATATTTTCTATTAAGGTATTTTTTTATCTATTGATTCTATTTCGACAATTATTGATGCATTTATGATGCTAACAATTACAGCGTGTCAATTTTAGCGTCAAAACCCTCAAGAGTTAAATGATAGACATGTAATATTTTCATTACCATTATTTCCAGGCTATATTTTTCGTATCAGTCTGAATTGCTTGAATTTGAAGTCAAATTTATGAATAATGTATATCTTAACACAAAATTCCTCAACAATAATATCATTAACCATAAGGGTTCTTCTGCTCAACTATAATATAGTTTTTAATAATAAAAAATATGTATCGAGCAAAAAAATTAATATGTTGCGGTTTTATTCTCCGTAATATAACTCATACTATGTAGTATAATACAACATGTTTGAGAAAAAAGGTTTTGGCTTTCTACTCCTCCATCTTCCTACAAAAATGAAACTTCCACATTTATATTATCCGTAGAAGTAACTTTCAGACACAAACTGGAAGAAAAATCCCTTTCGCAACAACTACTTTCATATAAACATGGAATTTGGTCAGTTATCACTCACAGTTTTTGTATACTTCTCCATCTTTATACAGGCCGTTTTAGCTGATGCCACTATCACTATTTTGGAAACTGTCGAATTTCGTTATTTGGCTCTACCGCCACCATTTCGAACGATATAAAAAAAGCAGAGAAACTTTCAATACTGTTTCATATTTGTTATAATCTGATGTGAACCAATTTGCAATGCGATGATTCGTCCTTAGATTTCATCGTAAATTTTAATTTTTTCAAGTATGGACCTCTAGTTTTTTTATCGATTTTTATAGCCACTGTAATAATAAAATGAAACAGTGAAAAAAACTAGAGGTCCGTATTGAAAAAAATATAGTTGATGATGAAATGTAATGGACAAAACAAAAATCGTGCAGATTCGTTCATGTATGAAGATGTATATAGAAAGCCAAAACCTTTCTTTCCCAAAAATCAACATGTCTTAAAAATATAACCCTTTCAATTTAAAATAAATTTCTTTTGTAGATTTTTTTTATATTTCAAGGAGAAATTTTGATAGAAAAAAAGTTTTTCATCTGGCGTTACAAACAAAATAAACTTATTTTTGTAGCGAAGTGGCCGCTTACTCCTAAAACTAAGGTTGTTGGAGTGAGAGGCAGCTGATAAATTCAAATAAACTACTCAGAATGAATATAGAGACACATCCTTAAAATGCAATAAGTGAAAAAATTTGTATTATTTCATGATAAAAACTTCAAGCTGCTAGAGCAGTGGCATTGATCGAAGTAGGGTATTCAAGGCATCGTGTAGCCCAAATGCTTAATGTGAGTCATTCTGCGGTTTCCAGAGCTTGAAATCGCTACCAACTTTACGGCATAGTAAAAAGAGCTCCTTATCCCAATCGACAAAGGGCAACAACCCGCAGAGAAGATAGTTTGTTATGATTTTGGGCAATTAGAGGTCGCACCGATTCTGCTAGAACACTACAAAATCGCCTTATAGGCGATTTTCGAACCAAACGATAAGAAACCGACCTCACAAAGTACAACTCCATGCAGGACGACCTGCTAGATTCCCTAGATTAACTGCAGCTCATCGAGGAAATCGTAGAATCTTTTGTCAGAGCATCGTAATTAGAATTTAGACCAGTGGGCCAATGTAATGTTTACAGATGAAAAAAAATTCATGTAATTCAACAATGACGGACGTTTTCGGGTATTGAGACGTCCCGGTGAACGCTATTTGGATGACTGTGTGCAAGAAATTGTTCCATTTGGAGGTGGATCGATAATGGTATGGGCTGGTATAACTTTGACAGGTCACACGGACCTTGTGGTATTTCGGGAAGGGACTTTAACGGCTGTCCGTTACATAGAGGAGATATTGAAACCTCATGTCGTCCCATTTGCCTCAAAATATGGGCGCTGGGTTCATTTCACGACAAGATAATGCAAGGCCATATGTAGCCAGGGTCGTGAGAAATTTCCTACAGGAGCACCATATTATTGTCTTGAGATGGCCAGCTGATGGTCCGGATTTAACTACTATTGAGCAGCTCTGGGATGAACTGGAAAGACTTTTGAAGGATCATCAACCCTTCCAAAATCTGAACCAAGTTGCAGATGCTTTTTTGACGATTTAAGAGCAGTTACCACAACAAATAATTAGAAATTTGGTGGAAAGCATGCCTCGTCGTTATGCCGAACTTCTTAGAGCCAGGAGTGGACGTACTCACTATTTAATGTACATTTTTCTTAATTTTTTTCTGAAATAAATTTTATTTGTTTTTGACACTCCTTTCTTTGTATTTCTTTTTAATCGTACCACCAAACAGCATTTTGAAAACAATGTAAGTTAAATTCAATAAAGGCACCTATGAACTATTTTATAAGTATGAATGTTTGACAAAATAATACATATTTTATTACTTATTGCATTTTGAGTAGTTTATTATGAATAGTAAGCAAAAACATTTCATTGGAGACATTTATATGAAATGCTCTGTATAATTTTCATAAGTAGATGAACAAGCTTGTTCCGAGTCCACTTCAAGGTCGCGCGTCGTTGGTAAGTGAGTGGAAGAGAGAAACGTGTGACGTATTCGATGCTGAGAAGGATGGAATGAGTATCGTAGAGATTCAAAGAGCGTGGGTCCTCTTGGGACAACGCCTCACTCCTCAGGCCTTCACCGCTGAGCCGTTGGTGTCGAGTCTAAGAACAACGTCTTAGATTCGACTCAGATTCGATTCTCATACCAATCGTTTTTTTTTTCAATTCAATTTCCCTCAGCTGCTGATGACCACTGGGACCACGTGACTGATACGTGACGAGGGGGCTCAGGAGTGAAAGCTTGAGGGGTGAAACGGAGTCTTTGAATCTCTCCGATACTCATTCCATCCTTCGGAACAACGGCTCGGAACAAGCTTTTTAATCTACTTTCATGTTACATACCACGAAATATTGATATCAAGGTTGAACTCATTCAGATTATTGGAAATAGATGGAGTAGTCTCCAATTTATGCTAAAAAGTATTCATATTTTGGTAATTGGTTTTTTGAGTAATAGTTTCCTGCTAGGTATAGTCGAAGTAACCGGTATTGTGAATAGTTAAAGGTATCGGCGAGCTCAAAGGCCAAAAAAACCAATACAAAGAAATTATGCTGCTGCCATCTAGTCCACGTGGACTGAAAAAATGGCGGTTTGTATTGGATAATTTTTACTAACCGAGTTTCATGATTGGCTGAAGAGTCATAAAATTAAATTTGAAGTCGTGTTACGGTGACGAATAAAATGCGAGGATGTTTATACACTTCGTGTTGGCAATGTTCAGTTCAGGAACTGATCGCGATTTGAGTGTTGAAATTCGATA